GGCCGCCAGCGGGGGGCCGGGCGGTGGGAGGGGTCCCCGCCTTTCCCCGTGGGTTTGCCCGGGGCAGCATTAGGGCTGCGCACTGACGTCATCCCACAGCCCAGTCACCCGCTTCCGAGAGAGCTGGGCGCGTGTGACGTCACCCGCGCCCTGCCGCCCCTTCCAAGGAAAGCTGCAGAGAAACCAGCTGTGGAGCTGCTGCAGGTTGGCGGCTTGGGGGGGCTCTAGCTGGACGGTTTTATCTTGCAATAATATTTTGCACAGTGCCTGGTTTGAATTCATTGAGGCACTAGCCCCCTGTCTGTAATATAGCAAAGTGTAGTAGGTGTTGGAGGATCCAAAGGTTTTTGAAGTACACTTGGGTATTTTTCTTTCAAAGCAAAGTCTCTGGCAGGCCTGCTCAAGGGAAGCTGTACAGCATGCCTACCCCGCACCCTTTCTCTGGTCTTCAGCGTGCAAATTCAAGGTGTCATCCGGAAGCACTCCTTGTTTCTTTCATGGTTGCCTCATAGAAATATGAGTGCCATTTGCTGACTGAAGATGATGCTAAATATGGAACCCAGTGCAACAAAGCAGCTCTTTTTCTCTCATTAAGTGTTGCTAGGTTAAGACATGAGCTAGTCCTCCCTCACGGAGCACTGACAAAACAGGCTGTCACTTACAAAAGCTCATGCTTTTCTGAACAAATTAGTTTTTAAGGTGCTATAGTCCCTTCTGCCCAACCCTCACATAGCAGGGGTGCTCAGCCCCAGGCCTGCAAGCAGATCTGGCCACCAGTGTCATGTCATCCAACCTGTGGAAGACCTGTGGGCTATGGCTCTGGATGCTAGATTGGCTAAAGGATGGTGTGGGGCCCTACAGCTGGATCCCTGCCAGGCAGGGGTGGAGTCAGCACAGGGCCACTGGGGCCTGATCTGGCCTGTGCACTTGCCCCATGCTCTGCCCAGGCTCGAAAGGGGGAGTTATAGAGAGGTGCTGCCAGACTGTCACCTTTCCAAACCCAAAGCTGTAACTGTGTCCAGAAAACAGCCTCCTTTTCCACTTACTTTCCTAATGTACAGGGCACAGACATCCTTTACAAAACTTCCCAAAGGTACATTTTTCTGTGGTACAGTTACTGATTGATAGTGATGTCTAGTACATTGAAAATGTTAAACTTGAAGTACAGGTTTGAAAGGCAATACTATTGGGACTTGAATTAAATCTCATTAGCATTAGAGGGTGCAGTTCCTCCCCTTCTTTCATTTGAGGCCAAGCTTAATGGTTTCCTTTAACTTTTACTTCATAAAAGTTCAGCCTTTGCCGTAAACGAAAGTACAGATTGCTGCCTAAAACAAACTTATACAAGCCATATGTGGGTGAAAGGGTTTCCATTAGCTATGATTTTGGGAAAATTCTGTGTGTATCAGGAGGACAGTGCAGGAAATGCTACACTATAGTATAACAAAGTAGAACAAAATAAAAAGATAAAGTAAAAAGGGGAGCTGGAACATGTGGACACAAGTATATGTGCATATGGCTTGACATAGATATGGGGGTAGACAGAGAAAGTCTTTGTTGGAGCAACAAAGTGTATAGGAAACACATTTTGGAATAATATGATGGATCAGAGGTGAGCAGGTACGCAATTGTGGATCAGATTCATTTGGAGAAGCCAAGTCAGTTTTGGGCAAGTTTAACAGAGATGAACTTGCTGCAGGGACTTAAGAAAAATCACCTAAAGAAGGAAAATTAAAAAATATTCAAACTAGAAAGCCTAGTAAAGGTAAGATAAGTTTTCTACTTCATTTGTAACCCACAGAGACTCAGAAAGGAGAGGTCAAATTGCTTCAGCTTAGATAGCATAGAAAGCCTTTAAGAATAACTCTGTCTAATATGTCTGATGGAGAATGTTTAATCTGGTTGGTGATATTTCCAAGTATTTAGAGTGGCAAGTTCAGTTTGTAAAGCAAGAAAAAATAGGCAAGTATGCCAAACTTAAGGGAAGCAGTTCAGTGAACTACTTGAACTGTGAAAAAAAAATTGGCCATAAGAAGAAGCATCAAGTATGAGGTTGATTAGAAGAAAGTATCACAAGCATCTAGTAGCATTGGAGCAACAATAAGTGCTGGCATTGTTCCCCTGCCACAAAATTTCCAGGCCCATGGGGAGACCCACAGGCCAGCCACAGCTTTAGAAGATAGCATAGTTACATTCTGGTTATTTCAGGTTGCAGGTTTACTTGTAGGTTTGTGTATATTGCAAGACCTTCTGTAACCCAAAATAGCATAGTTACCTTCAGGATAGAGAAGGAGGGGAAACCATTCGAGTGGTAAATTATACATTGACCATTTGCAGATTTGAAAAAGGCTTACCTCTCTTGCCCCACCTACACTTCAAAGTCCCTTTTAAATTGGGCACCATTGCTAATGCTTATGTTGTGGGGGGCAGTATTGACACACAACACACAAAGGATTTGACAGGATGGTGTGCGGGCCGGGAGTGAGCCGGGCCCTTTTGTGTTTTGCGCGGGCTGTGGCCAGCAGCCCGGGCACGCGGGGTCGGAGAGAACGGGCGGCACGCTAGAATTAGTCACGGACGCGTAATGGTTGATTTAAGATTATTTCACTTACACCGAAGATGGTCGCGGTGCAGGCAGGAAAACTTGCTTGAGTTGCGGTTACAGATAGAAAAGATGAGAGGTGGACTAGAGTTCCTTCCCGTGAACACTCTTCTAGCCCGTCCGGTTGGAGGCTCTAAACCGCGAGCCCGTCGCGCCAACCGAAGAAAGTACTCGAACCAAAGAGCTCTGAATAGACTCACACAAAGTTTGCTAGGCTCCGTGGAACTTGCGCGCAGGGATTCGAAGTGAAGAGCTCTGAATAGACTCACACGAAGTTTGCTAGGCTCCGTGGATCTTTTTGTGCACAGGGAAGAGGGATACGTCGAGGATTGCGCTCGGTGACGGGGAGAGGCTAGAGGCTGGGCAGCCCCCGGTTGCCGCCTTTAAAAGCGCTGGGTCCAATAGGCTCCGCAGCGCTTAGAGATCTTCTTAGTGGCGAACAAAGCAAACCCCTAGCCTCCCCGTAGGAATAATTTAGAACTAGCCAATGGTGGGGCACAAATTTGAATACAAATGGCGGGAACTCCTTGCAACGTGCATTTCTGTGCTGCAACAAAGAAATGCACCCTGCAAAGAAAGCTTCAAATTGGCGGGAAAATAATTCAGTGGTGCCAAAGCACACACAAAACAAAAATCACAACTTTGGGTTGTGACAGTTGGGTCAAAAGATTTTGACAAGATCCACAATGCACTTGACAATTTAGCACATACAGTCTCTTGGGATGGTGGAACAGTGTAGTTGAATGCTGGGGGTAAGTCAACTATTTACCTTGGCAGAATAGTGGTGTTGGTGTATTCCATTCCTTACAACCATTAATAGAACAGCAGTCAGCGAGAATGTAAATTGTGTCCCAACATCCATCATGTTTTGGTGCGATTCAAGCAAGTCTCTTGTATGGGGGTTCCTGAAGAGAAAAAAAAAAGTTTGGCCATTGAATTTTTGGAGAAACCCTATAATATTAAGTTCACCTCTTTGCCAGGAAAAGTTAGAGGACAGCCTCTGGTTAAGTGATAAGACTAATATAAGGACCTAGCAGAAAATTTGTAAAGAGAGGTCCTAGTATTATTTTATATTCTACATTCTGAAGAAAGATAAATAAAAATGCTGACAGGATTATTACATAGTACACGACTGAATTCATTTATCCCCCAGTATCTTTTAAAAGGGTGTCAGGGGGACAGGATTTCCACTAAAATTGAAAGCACAAGTATAGAAGCTGAGGAGGCTTCAACTAATTGGTCAGCTAGCACAGCAAGATGGGTAGAGTTGCTCTCCACTTGCAAGTTCTACAAGGAGAGAAGATATTTGAAAATCAGGAACACATCATACATATTCATCAGGAAGTCTTCATGCTCTAAGTGGCGTTCAATGGCTAAGTGCGTGTGATCGTTACCTAAATATGACTTCTACACCATTGCTTTTATATACAACCTAGTACTAGCATTTCAACTATTCCACCCCATCTTTATTTTGGGGGAGACAGAATAGCCTGCCCCAATTATCCAAGAGAAAAATAAGGCTGTTAGGGAAAAGCAGGAGTTTTCTGGCCTAGTTGTTATTCACCTAATGTACTGGTGAAGGCCAGGCAAAGCTCTCAAGGAGAAGGGGGTCTGAAGGTGTCCAACATCAAAATTGGAATCAGGAATATTGGATTGGAATTAGCTGAAATAAGGATATACCAGGACCCAAAGCAAGATCAGGAACCAAAGCCAGAACAGGAGTAGCCCAGAGTCAAACCAGAACCGGGAACCAAAGCCAGAGTCAGGATATGCTAGGAGTCGCAATCAAAACCAGAGAGCCAGTAAAAGAAAGCCAGAAACATAAAGAGATCAGGAGTAAGTACCTCGGTCTTCTTGGACAGGAATGCAGTGAGCTAGGCCTGGCTTATAAGGGCTAGAGCTGGTGGGGGGAGAGGCGGGGGTTGGTTGCCTGTGGCCTCAGGCTTTTGGCTGCCCTGATTATCTCATTTGGACCAGCTGAGCCCAGGGGACTCTTCTGGGCTTGCCTGTTTACCAGGTACCTCAGGGGATGAATTCCCTTTAACTTCTGATTAGGAAGGCTGGGTTCTGATGTGGCCTCATTACAGTGGCAAGGAATGGAAAACTCCAAAGAATTGGGAATAAAGTATTCTAGATATATAGGAATCTATTTGGGTCTTTATGTATATTTATTTGAATTGACAAGGCATTTAAAATTATAACCAGACAGAAACAAATATTGCATAATATTGATATCTTAGTCACTTTACTAATCCTCTGGCCACTGCCACCAAATTACAATATTTATCTTTGTACATTGAATAAAAATATATACATGAAGTGAAAGCTTTGTTGTTTTTAAATTGTTAGTCTCCTTTTGGTGAGGTGTGATTCATACATGGAGTAGTGAGATTGTTAGAATTAAGGTTTTGTCTCCATTGCAATTACTAATTAAGTTAATTAATCCATATTAAAATATCATTAGAAGTTGTGCTATAGACATATCCTTAGGTATATATGCAATTTTAAACAACAGTAAAATTGTAATGTTCTAGCCAGTACCACTAGAACAACCAGTAAGACTTCTACAAAGTTATGTTAGATTTTTAATGCCTTTCTGCAACTCCATTCACTAAAATTACTGTTTTGCCTGAAAATACACTAATATTGGTTATTATGAAAAGATATCTTTTTTCTTATGGTATTGTACACAATGCATTATTTGCAGCTCCAGCATTTTTAATATATTTATGAATGTTGTCAATTAAGCGTGTTCATCCAACAAAACCTTAAAGTGTGTTTTATTGCAGTTGTTCACTGTGAAGATTATAGCTCTATAAAGGAAAATGTCTTTTTTCCCAAAAATATTATTGCTGCCTGAAGTTGAAGGATACCTCAACAATGTATTTAGAAATCAGGAGGTAGGTTCAAGAAGTAACTGTTAATAATTAACCTGCACAACCTTAGATTTGCCTTTTCCTGACTGAACATTGAACTATTCAGCCATCAGCATTCTTCTAACTTCGTTTATTTGTGCGCAGTTACTGAAAAATGCCTCTCAAAATAAAGTAGCATGTATTTAATATTCAGGCATAGGGAGATCTTCGTAACCTAAGGCTCTGCTTTTGTAATGAGTCCCATCTGCTGCCAGGACTGGGAATCATGGCCCAGGATTATTAATTTAATCTAGAAGCTATGAAATATCCAGTTGTCAAAAGTACAACCATTTATATATGTACATTTTTAGACTTTTTAAAATGATGGTAAATTAATATTGAAGTGCTATCAACTACAGTTAGCCATCAGACTTAAATGGAAAATTAATTGTGGTGTTTCAGTGATCAGATAAATTTGTATTAGCAATAATGATATTTAGAAATGCAGAAGCTCAGCAACTACTTATGTATTTCAAATATTTATACAGCATAAATGCTTCATTTATAGCCTTTTTCTGATCATGGCGTGTAAGGTTAATTTTTTTTTAAAGACAGCTTGTAAAGAAAAAACAGACTTTAAAAATTTTATTTCTGGCCTTTCTAACGTTTTTTCAAAAATATTCCTTCCATCCCAACCTGTTAGAAATACCAGGACTCTAATATGATGCTTCCTACTTTTTCTTGAGATGCTTTGGAGGGCCTGCGAAAGTTAATTGGAAGTTCTCAGGCTTTAAGGGCTAGGAATATTGAACCAAAAAAAAAAAAAGAGAATTGGAGAGGTTTTTTTAGCAGTCTGTACAAGTTTTCCTCAGATTGGCACGTACCAACGAAGTGGATTCTGAGATGCCATAATCCTACTTCTGTGGTCATCCATAAATTCTTCCAGGAAATTGTCCTTCTTTCTTCCCCATCCCCACCAAATACAAAATAAAATTGGGTAAATTATACTTGAATTTCTTATGGGAATACAGGCAGAAACAACAAGCTTTGTGTCCTCCTCAATCCATCAGACCAGCTCACCACATCTTCAAGTTTAAGTCCATATTTGTCTCTCTTGAGCCTCTGTATAGTCAAATCAGTCCTCCATTTAATAGGGTGATATTAATGCCATGAACAGGCATTCATTTCTAGGAGTAGACACTTCTGAGAAATTTCCACTGCTAGAAATCTTTCTGGAGAGGCAGTGTACAGGAGGTCAGCCTGCGCCTCCTCTCTGTACCTCATGGGGAGCAGTGGAGCCCTGGGGAAAGACTCTCTGTGCCTTCCCCTGCCAACCCTCAGGGGAATAGGGAGGGAGAAGCTCTTCAGGCTTGTTCCCAGAGCCCCTTCCCCAAGCCAGGCAGCCCTCAGTTTGGGAAAGAGGCAAAGCCCCTTTTCCTCCCCCCACCAACCTCCAGTCCCCAGTCTGGGGAGTGGGCGAGGTGCAGTGAGCAGCTGCTCCTCCACTCTGCCCCCAGTGTTCAAGAGCAGAAAAGAGGGAGCAGTGGAGGCAAACCCATTGCCTACAGTCACCCCAGCATGGGGAAGGCACAGAAAGTCTGGGGAGCAGTAGGTGTCTGCTTCTCCCCTCTCCTCCCAGCCCCCTGAAGGAGTCAAGTGGCAGGGAATAACAGAGGCAATCTTTCTTGCAAGAGAGTCTTGCACAAGAGAGAGCTTGTTGAAAGAGGAAGATCTTTCTCCTAGAAAGCCTGTCTGCCTACAGAGTGTATCTCTACTCTTTCTGGAAAGATCCAGTTCTCTTATAAATAAAGCATTTTTCTTGCAGGTGAAACTTGATGAAAGCCTCTTTGCTTGTGGTTTTTATCAGGAGAGTGGCCATTCTTGTAGTAGAAATATAATACCTACACCTAAATTAACAGATTTGTTCTGCCATGTATTCTGCTGCAAGTTCAAATACTCTTGCTCAGTAAGACTGGTCTGTTGAGGGAACAAAATCAGTCCTTAAGTCTGTGTCTGTGTTTTTCTCTAAAGTTACTGGGGGTTGCAGGTACATTTGAGGGCCTATTACGCAGCATGCATGAGTATGTTCCTTCAGCTCAGCATAATGTTTGCTTTATCATTTTTGTCTACAAATACAATGGTACAATCTATTTTATTATTACTTTAAAATAGTTTTCCCCTCTTCTTTTAGCTTGTAACTGCTTTGGACTCACAGGAAGCAGAGAAAAAGTATGAATGTCTGTTAAGTCATCTGCCTCATCCACCAGCCTTCACAACTGTTAGAGTTAACACTCACTTAACCTCAGTTAAACATGTGAAAAATCTGTTGTTTGAAGAGATCGAAAAGGTTTGTGCAGGTTTATACCCTGGTTTCCAGGATAACTACAAGGATTTATGGGTTTTTAGCAGTTAAATCACATACATGCATGCACGCACGCACGCATTATGGGTGTCTTCTCTTTCCAATGGCAGACAAGGTTCTTTGGATGAATCTGATATTTTTTATTAGACCAACTTAAATGTTTAAGCTGGTCTAATAAAACAGGGGTTGTCAACCAGGGGTATGTGTACCCCTGGGGGTACTTGGGAAGGCCTCGGGGTATGCGGCAGCAGTGAGGAGAAAGGGGTACACTTCTGGTTTCGCCAGCTGTACTTGCCTATCGCTTGCAGCAGGACCTCCACCCTGCTCATTGATTGGCCGGGGGACTCCCTGTTTCATGACTGGCCGCCGGGGGGTGCACCAACCAAAAAAGATTGAAAACTCCTGTAATAAAAAAGATATCAGATTCACTCAAAGAACCTTAGCTGCCTATGTCCTTAGACCAACATGGCTACAACTTGTTCTCTTTCCAATATAATTTAGAGACTAAAATCCCGTTGATAGTGTCAAAGTCCATCAAGTGTAACAGTGGTCAATATCTGATGCATGAAAGGAAGGCACAGTGTACCAGGCCAATTTTGTAGAAGAAAAAAAGACACCTTTTTTCAGAAAGATCTGAAGAATGAAACTAACTTGTAGAAAAATGTGTGTGATTGGATCACAGAGAACCATTACTTCTTGTGAGTTGTAATACCATACCTTCTTTCAAAGATTTTAAATCTATTAATGCAATCCAAGTTCTCTTAGATTATTATTCTTAGTATTTAGCAGCACCTAGAATCCCCAGGATTTGGGGTACCTACGTACTAACGTATAAATACAGAAAGAAGGAACTGTAGTCTAGACCAGTGTTGCTCAATCTCTGGCTTGCAGAGCCATGTCCTGTGACCTGCAGGGTTTCCCCACAGGCCTGAAATTTGGGGTGGAAGTGTGCTGGAAATTAATGCTGCCACTGCTCCCCCACTGCCAGATGACATAACTGTATGCAGGGCCTGGGCTTCAGGGCCTGATCCAGTGCACGGGGTTGGGGCCAAGCAATGGACCACCAACACATGCCAAAATTGGGGCCATGGACCGGATCCCACATCGGGCATCTGGTCCACAGGGCAAAAGGTTGGGTACTGATGGTCTAGATGTCATAGCAGCTATATACTGAAACAAATAGTCTGAGAAGGTATGTGCAAAAGGTGACAGGAAAAAGCTGTTTCTATGGGTTTTTTCCAGGAACCTTGTAGAAAATAGAAAGAACCTGTGGTTTCAAATAGATTGGGTGGTTTCCCACTGATGGTGTAATGTTCAAAAATATTTTGATATATAGTCAATTTAGGAATTTTTTGCTTGCTTTTGTTTATCTAATGACTACCGTTATCTGACAGAGAAAATTTATTGGAAGACCGAAGGTATGAAGAATAGATTGTTTAGAAACGCTAGTATATCTCTGTAATCTTTCTGCACAGATCCAGTTCTTTTATAAATTATTGATGCGACAGGGCATACAAAGAGCTATTGCATGACAGGAGCCCAAACAGTCTGTAATACAAAAGCAGTTGTCAGTACTCCCGTGATTGGGCTGGCATCACAAAAATTTACAGATCTATTTAGAAAGGAGAAACCCCGTAGGAAATGCAGACAGGCTGCTAGTTATGTGAGGTGGAAAAAAAAATAAAGGACCTTCTAAAAGTCTAGGATCAATTCTAAAATGGCAAGCCAGAAGTCAGCTCTTTTGAATATATTTGCACAACTGATTCCCATAGCAGCCAGCATCTTCACAGGTCCTTCTAACTTGAACTCACTATCCACAGAGATGTCAAATAGGGAGGAAGTGCACATGAATACATTAAGTAATATGTTAACATATCTACCTGATGATGGCATAGTACAAGCCTGTTCCCAAAAAGCAGATTTTATGGATATATGAATGCTCATTTCCCAGCTTCTCTCACTTAAAGTGATTGTTCTGCCATTTGTAGGTTTAAAATATGAATAGTCAACTGACTTCTGAATGTAGTATAGTACTTTGTTTAAAACCTACTGGTCTAACAAGTTTTTTTGTTTTTTGTTTTAAATTTAACAGCAGTTTAAAGGTCTTAATGTTCCAATCCTTGAGCATCCAGAACTCCAGGACATTTTACTAATTCCTGTCATTGGACCCAGGTAACGTAATTTTTGAATGACAACCAGTTTGTATTACTGAGTTGCAATGAAGACTTTATTTCTGATCACTTACTATACAGATTACGATACAAGGCCTGCTACTTGTCTTAGACGCCATGCATATTTGATTTTTAAAAGATGCCACACTCATTGGGGGGAGTTCTTTCTCCATCTATGAAAGCAGACTTTTTCATTTATATTTCTATTCCCATGGAATAGTTTTTCTATTGCTTAACTGACATTACTGTTGAGGGCTAGTTTACATTGTCTTCTTAGTAACAACATTTCATAACTATATCCACTCCCCAAACTATGATCTTACTAAGATTGTGTCAAGAGGTCTTGTAATCCAGCTGGACATTAAGTAATTATAGTGTGTACATGCTATGCATTATACTATAGTATTTACTATTTCTCTTTAACATGTACTTCTACTTTGCTTGTTGTCCTCTACTAATATTAAATAATTCTCTACAATATTGTTTCTAAATGTACTATTTATAATTGCTAATAAGCCTGAGCATGCTCTCCCATTAGCAAACTTTTAATAGTTGCTGACAAAAAAGGTTCCTTGCAACCTGTTAAACTGTTTACTGAAGTAAAAACACATTGCATATACTAAATTTTAAAAAATCATTTTTTGTGACGATCTGATTGAATATGAAGTGACTACTAACAGAGAAAAGGGTAGGGATTATTTCTGCATTCATGTATAACTAGATTTTGCATTTGCATGTTGTATTGGTGGCAGCAGCACTTTTTCAAGGAAAGGCGTACTTATTGGTATTATATTTGTGTTTATCAGTACTGAACATATCTTAGAAATGTAATATACAGTATACAGATATACCACCCTGCAATAGAAACAACACTTATGGACTGAAGGGTTGGGGTTTTAAACTTCTGAAATAGACTGACTTTAGTAAGTTTTTGTAAATAAATTATCTTTTATGTCTGCAGGAAGGATCTACAACAGCAGTTATCTGAGGTCATTGTTGGAGCCCAGTGTGGGAGTGCAGTTCTCCGTGGTGCACATGTCTACGTCCCTGGAATCATCTCTGCTTCAAAATGTACGCATGATTATTCCAGTATAGAGAAGGGGAAAAAAAGACATCCATTATTGCTGAAAGTTTATATCTAGTTTACCATGTTTTTGATTGAAACTTAAGGGTTTTTTTCATTTTACAAGACACATAAAATCATGAATATTAGTTCGCTTTAGCTCTGCTTTGAATTTGCTATGTGTTTTAGTGTCTTCCATTTCTAAGTGAAAGAATTAGCGCGCACTAACATATTTCTACATTTTTCCTGTTTTGACTTAATTTTTTAAGGGCACGTTTTTAAAGTGAGAACTAATTTGACAGATCTGAGAAGAATTATAGTTTGCTTTATATCAAAGGTAATACTTCTGTAGATTTTGTTATAAGCTAGAATAGTGACTAGTAAAGTAAATACTTATTTTGGATAATTGTATATTTGGCAGTACTGAGGATTGTCATTTTTCACTCTATACGGAGGAAAATGTGGTGGCATAACAGATAACTCTGGATCATAGGACATTAGGGCCTAAAGGGACCTCATATGGTCATCTATTTCAGCCCACTGCTGAAGGCAGGATCATCCCTGATGAAACCATCCCAGCCAAGTGTCTTTCTAACCTGTTTTTGAAAGTTTCCAAGAATGGAGATTTCACACCTTCTCAAGGTAGCCTGTTCCAATGCGTGACCAGCCTCATAGTCAGAAAGTTCCCCCTAATCTCCAGTCTAAATTTTCCTTGATGAAGCTTGAGTCCATTGCTCCTTATCTTGCCCTCCACTTGTCCTAGACAGTGTTCATAGTTGCAGAGGAAAGGCCATTTCCATCCTCTCTATAATCACTCTTCAGGTATTTGAAGGTTGTTATTTAAATGCCTCTCAGTCTTATCTTATCCAGGCTAAATAATCCTACATCTTTCAGCCTTTCTTTGTACGTCTTGTCTCCCAGGCCCTTCATCATTTTTGTTGCCTTGTGCTAGACTCCTTCCAAACTGTCCACATCCTTCTTAAAGTGTGTGGCCCAGAACTGGACACAGAACTTCAGATGAGGCTTCACTAGCATTGAATAGAGAAGAATCACTTCCCTTGATTTGTAAGCGACACTCCTGTTACTATAACCCAGGATGCTGTTGTCTTTTTTGCAGCATGGCCACACTGTTGGCTCATATGCAGCTTATGGTCCACTGTAACCTAGTGTCCTTCTCTGCAGTACTGCAGCCCAACCAGTTGTTCCCCTGTCTGTATTTGTGCATACAGTTATTCCATCCCAAGTACAAGGCTTTGCTCTTATCCCTGTTGAATCTCATCTCATTGATTGAAGACCATTTTTCCAGTCTATTCAGATAATTCTAGATCCTAGCCCTGCCCTCTGCAGTGCCTTCGATTTCACCCAACGTGGTCATCCACCAATTTGCTAAACATGCATTCAGGTCCATCATCCAAATCATTAGTGAAGATGTTGAGCAATACTGGACCCAGGACAGAACCCTAGGGAACCTCATTTGATACCTCTTCCCAGCTATTGAGCTATTGAGGACTACTTGCTGAATATCGTGATCCAGCCAGTTAGGTATCAGACAGTACTTTCATCTAGTCTGTATTTCCTTGTTAATAGAATATTGTGGGAGACAGTGTCAAAAGCCTTGCTAAAGTCAAGGTATACCATGTTCACTGCTCTCCCCTCATTGACAGGGCCTATCATTTTATTTTAAGAGGAAATCAGATTGGTAAGGCATGGCTTGTTCTTGGTGAGTCCATGCTGACTGTTCCTGATCACCTTGTTCTCCTCTAGGTGCTTCTCAATGGATTCCTTGAGAACCTGCTCTATGATTTTTCCAGGTATCAAGGTCAGGTTGACTGGTCTGTAGTTCCCCAAATCTTTGTACCCATTCTCAAAGATGGGCACTACATTCGCCTTTTTCCAGACATCTGGAACCTTCAGTATCCTTGGGTACATACCATCTGGCCCTGCTGACTTGAAAGCATCTAATTTGTCTAAGTAATCCCTGGCATGTCCTGTGACTACTCTAGGCTGTTTGTCTACTTCCATATCTCTGATGTCAACTGCATTCATCTAGTAGCTGTTCCTATTTGTGAAAACTGAAGTAAAAAAGCATTAAATACTTCAGCCTTCCTGGCATTGTCTGTGAGCAGTTTGCCTCCTGCATTCCATAAGGGGCCCATGGAATCCCTGGTTTTCCTCTTACTTTTGACATACCTATAGAATCCCAGTGTATTGCCTTTTACGTCCCTTGCCAACTGCGTCTCAAATTGTGGCTTCCTAATTTTATCCCTGCATGCACTTATACTTTTTCCTAGTACCGTGACCAAGTTTCCACTTTTTATAGTATTCTTTTTTGAGTTTCAGTTCCTTGAATTGATCATTATCTAGCCAGATTGATCACTTGTTGTACTTCCTATTCTTCTGTTGCATCAGGATAGCTTGGTCCAGTGTCCTTGAGAGCGCCTCCCTAAAGTGCAGCCAACTCTCCTGGATGCTTTTCCCCCTCAGACTTGCCACCCAGGGGATCCCACCCATAGATTCCTGAGTTTGTTAAAGTTTGCTTTTCTTAAATCCAATGTCCTTATTCTGGTCCTATCCATCCTTCCTCCCTTTAGGATCTTGAACTCTGTCATTTTGTAGTCACCATCAGCCAAGTTACCTTCCACCTTTACATTATCAGTCAGTTCCTCCTTGTTTGTGAGCAGGTAGTCGAAAACAGCTTCTCCCCTCACTGGCCTCTATTATCTGAACCAAAAAGTTATCCCCACCGCACTCCAAGAACTTGCTGGACTGTTTGTGCACTGCTGTGTTTCCCTCCCAGCAGATGTCCCGATTATTAAAGCCCCCCATCAGAACTATGTCCTGCAATTTGGAAGCTTCTGCCACTTGTTGAAAGAATGCCTCATCCACCTTCTAGTTTAGAGACCTGTAGCAGATACACATTATGACATTCCCCCTGCTGCTGTCCCCTCTGGCCTTTACCCAGAGGCTTTTAACAGACCTACCTTCCATTTCATACTGTACCTCTGGACATGTATACATCACCCTTATATATAAAGAAACATCTCCTCACTTTTTACCTCTCTGTCTTTCCTGAACAAGCTACACCCATCTATGACCATAATGTGAACTATACCATCACATCTCCATAATCCCAGTTACATCATAATTCTTTGATTGTACTAGGACCTTCAATTCTTCCTGTTCATTCCCTATACTTCTCATATTAGTTTGTAAACATTTGAAGTGTCTAACTGACTGTACTGTCCTCTCCCTACAGACAATGCTAAGATTTCTATTATTGCTTCCCCTTACTAAAGTCTCCAGGCTCTGTACTTACCTCTAGCCTTTTGTCTCCATCCCCCAGTGAACTTTTTTACTCTTTAACACCCACCAGTGTTATCAGGTGTTATCGTCTGATATGCTGGCAAATACAGACCCATTGCCAGGTACAGACATTACACTTTTACCAGTATAAGTGATCGGAAACCAGTCGATACCTGTAACAGAACAGAAGTTTGGCATACATAGACTGATTTAAAAATGGCATAACCCAGTCTAATATTCCCCCACCCACCAAAGGTCAAATGCATGTTCTGTTTGCTAGCCATCTAAACTACACTGCTTGCAGAAAACTGTGCAACTTAGAACGATTCTACCTCAGGCTTTTTGAATGTCTGTACCTAGCTACTGATTCATGATTTCTTAAAATCCTAAAAAATTAGAGGTAAAGCAGAAAAGACTTTTTCCTCTTGAGAAGAAAAAAAGTCTTCTATCTTTTAGAAAATAACAACTCCTACGTTATATACTGGAGAGTGCTTAGTATTCACTTGCATATTGAAACACTTTATAATATTTATGTTTTCTTTAAAGTTCAAATTATGTTTGTCATATAATTTTGGATGATTCACCTTGTTATCATCATGGTAGTGACTGTTGATCTGTTAACTGAAGAGAGATTTGTTAAAAAATGTAAACAAGCAAATTTTAGTCCCAAATTATGAAAGCTATTATGCCTATGCTCAAGCCGATCCCCACTCAAGAAAGCAGATAAATAGATGCTTAACTTAAAACGTGTGCATAAATCACATTGACTCAGACTGCTTTTCTGAATCCAGACTTATGAGGACTCAAATAAATAGCTTCAACATTTTTTTAAACTGCTTTTTGTACAAACACATTACTCAGGAATATGCAAAAATACCTTCTGAGCTAGTGATTCATAATCATTGCTGCTTATTAATAAATAACGTCACATAAAAACAGGGGAAAATATGTTGAATAAGACTTTACAAATATTGCACAAAAAGAGAATGCAATTAGAGGGCATGCTTGAGGCCACATACAGTAAAGCCTTGTACCTAGAAATGGTACTTAGTATAGAAGGTATAATTAGGGGAGGGCGGGGAATAATTTGTGGACCAGTATTTGATCATTAATAAAGTTGCATAGATAAGGAAAGAGCAGTGATCAAAGTTTAGTTTAACAAAAGAAGTTCTTAAATTAGAAGTTAAACTTTCGGCTAATAGGTAGCCAGTGTAACTGCCTGATGGATAAGAAAACACAAATACTGAAAGTACAACATGAATGCTGAAAGTACAACAAAAAATTAAGCATATTTTCCAATTTTAGATTTACAGAGACCAAATAGATGCTAATAACATGGTGTCACATAGTTACACCCCAGGTTCAAATACTGTTATATTTAGTTTAATTAAAAAAAAAATTATTTAACTTTGCATTATTTCAAATTTTTAAGTGCATAATTTTGAATGTTTCTGCGCATAATTCCATGGGGTGTACATAGTGTCTTGGTATTAATAGCAGCCCAAGCAGAAAATTATCTAGTGTAGAAGTGTCTTCTAGATACAGGAATTGGTTGTAAATATAATCTTTTTTAAAAGTTGTAAGAACATTTTTCCATATTACAAGGTTAGCCCCCCAGCATGTCAGTGCAGTTCCTTGACAAAGAGAAGAAGATCCCATTATACAATCTTCAACCTTTCTCAGGAGTTTCAAGTGACTGTACTCATTCCCACTTCCAAAGTTATTTTTACATCTGTAGTTTACTTGGTTTGCCCCTGCCAGCCTCCTCAACTGGCCAGATTTTGTTAGAGCCAATATGACCACAAAATGGGATGAAAATAAAGGACATGTAGGCAGTTTAATTTGTATTAGGGTAATTAATAATAGATTTAAAAAAATTAGAATTAGTAAGGGAGCCACATTTGTGAAACAGGATCTTATTCTCATCCTTTTAGAATGTTAAATAAGGTGCATCCTGTCCAGAAAGACTATTGCCACATCCTGTAAAATACAGCTGCTGATTTGACTTTGCCATAAAAAGATGGCTAAATGATTTGACAGCACAATCATTAGATATACTGCCTGATACAAAGGAAAGAAGAAAATATGAAGAACACAACAGCAGTGGAACTTGTGAGGATCTCCCACTTACGTAGATTTAGACTGTGAGATATATAACCAAGGAAGAACTCACAGTACAGCAGTTTATGGCCATTTGTATCAAAGCATCAGTCAATAAATGGGACTGATGAAAATCCGCTCAATCTCGCTATTGTAAGAACAGACCCCCATTATTACCCCCATTATTACTATTTTGAAAAATTCTGAATCAGTGGAGTTTCAGTAGATCATGTTCCTGGAGAAAATACAAGCACTGAAAGATCAAGCTTAAGAATCATGGATTCTATGAAAATTAGAATAGTAAGAAGTTGGGCCAATCTAGCTTTTGTAGCTTAAACAAAAGGAGATGTTGAAGGTATAATGTGACCTGTTTCTCAGTATGTCTTTGCATCTCCAGTTAGGTAGTCTTCTCCCCATCCTTCCAGTCTACCTCCCCACCTTTAGTCTCTCCAGCCGAACACTAGAGCTTCATTTTTTCAGGTTAAACGTTAGGTAAGTTGTTTGTTTGTTTGTTTTTTCTAAAAAAGGAAATGGAAAAACTTACCAGTGAGTTTATGAAGTAAGCAATAGTAGAGACATTCAAAAGGTGAGCTAAACTGAAATCAGTCTTATCATAGTATAAGAAGCTGGAGTATAAAAGCCACTGAACATCCTGAATTACTTTGGTCACTACTCTCTTTCCCAAAAAAGCCCTCCCAAAAACCTCTCT